TTTAGCAAAGTAATTGAATTTGATTTTGTATAAATACAAATTTCATTTGTGTACGGACAACTGGGAAAGATAGGGTACTCGATTGGATTCGTCATTGGTTACCTACTGATTGTGTCTTAAATACTCCATTTGTCTAGAATTTGAGTTTATTGCTCAATGGAACTATTAGAACCATTACATAAATTGGTTCGCACGGAAAGGAATTAAAATCGATTTCAATAACTCACAAATCCAACTAGGATCGATGCATAATTCAACTTTGTTCCCATTATCAGAATTTTTTTCCTGTATGAAATTCAATCACATGGATTTTCTAACTTAACAAAGAAGAATCAAATTTGGGCAGATTTTTCTACCATATTATACTCCTCTTCATTTTCCACATCACCGGAAACAACCTACCAAAAACTTTTCATCTCTCTCTCTCTTTCCTTTCCATGTATGTGAAAGGAGCAATGAAACGTGAAGACATTTTTCAAAGGAAGTTTCGATAGCAAAGACAAAGATGAGGAAGGCTAGCTAGTAGCTAGGTGTAGAAGGCTACATTTGTAGTAAACTAGTGAGCAAGTGGTACAACAATATACATGTTTAATTTGGGAGAGACAAAAACATGATGCATCCCATGCTCCCTTGTCCGGCGACCAAAACAACACACCGCCAACCCAACGACAGACCAAGTCGGTCGTCGATCGTCGGCGACCCAAGGACGATAGAGATAGAGAGAGAGAGAGACAGAGAGAAAATATTTGGTACGTGTGCCCCCATTGTATTATTTGTATATATGTTTTTGCCTTTTTCGATGAATCATGTGTGCCCATTTACATTGCTACACGTGCAACGGTGGCTCATGCATATATATATGTCCTATAGATTTATATTGGTTTCTTTCTGTTTAGGATTGGATATATTGGGTTTTGTTTATACTTATATTTAGAAATCGGGGGGAAATGGAGGGATTGAATGCTATAGGTCATCTAATTTCATTAGTCGATATTTTATTAGAGTGGAAGAAATGTGCAAGGAACTTTTTTTTCTTTAACGAGTTCTTGACATAATATAAAAATGATAAGACTTTTCCGTTATGTTTTTCTTTTTCCTTTTAATTTGAGTTTGACATGGATTGGGAGTTCTGCAATTACACACTCAATTTTATCGATGTGAAAAGTGGTGTAATCGATGCGAACTTTCATTTATAAAAGTCCAATGATGGTGGGTCGTCTGCCTATTGTCTTTATTATTAATGTTATTTACATTGCTCTAAATATATTTGAAGAGAGAACATAAAGTTCGCAATCCTTGTATTGAACAGAGGATTGTTAGCGTACAATCGAAAATATAAGAAAAAGAATCTTTATATAAAAGTGTTCATCTAACCAATTAGTACGAAGCATTTGGGTTTCGTATAGGGCATGGTTATGTGTAGTTAGTTGAGTTCTATTTTTCCGAGTCATATTGACTTTGCAGTCTTTGGCGTGCTTAATGGAAAGGATGGGTGGTGCATGTCGGCAGGGACCAACTCGGTAATTTCCACGAGCTTCCTTGCATGGATTGAAAAGGAACCCCCAAAAAACATAAATGTAAGAAAAGTCAGTTCCCGGGATTCCGGGGAGTAAAAACATGTTATGCTAAAGTTAAACACACATCGTACGTAGTAGAATCTAATCAAAGATCGAAGGAAAGGAAAAAAAATTGAATCTGTTGGTCGACATTTGCTCTATCTGTTTATTATTTGAAAGACTACCAATGGGGTTAGGGATTATAATTTTCGTAAATGATACAATAATCTATTGGATTTGAAAGTATTGATTCTTGACTTTATTAAATTCCTAGTAGAATATTGAACCAAACTTATTACATTTCCATTTTTCTGTTGGGTGATGGGGCATTTACTATATGCTGGAATACAATCCACGATTACAGCACACATGATTCTAATCTTTTTTATTTTTTATTATATAAGTGATGTTGGGTTTAAGCTTAGAAATTAAAGCAGGTGTGGTGAACTATTATTTAGATTTCGCATACGCACACATGACCTTGACTGTTATTATCACAATTAATTAAGTCATTACATCACAAGTTCGAAGTTACTTTCTGCACAAGCTTTCATTCCTTAATATTATTTCCTTAAGGATTGTCAACTGGAATTTCCTGGAAAAAGGCTTCAAAGTACTTACTAGCACAATAATCAGAGAGAGTTAATTGACTAAAAAAATTACTAATTAGCTAAACAAACTTGAGTTTGTATACCACATAGCATCTTTCTGCCGCCAAATTCCATAGCAAATGTGAAATAGACCATAAGCAAGTTGGACTTGTTTTTTATTTATTTATTGATAGTCAAGCAATTATATGGTGGCGTGACAGGAGATGCTAAATAAGTCACTAAGAATACGGTTGTGGTGGTTGATGAGGCCAGGTTTTCAATTTTTTCGTTTTATGATTTGTCAGAGACGATAACGAGATGACTCATTATGTGTGGTCGGAGAGAGTCTGTTCTTTAAACTCCGTAGTCGTTGCGTGTTCTAATTTTTTATCCCCTAAACCCTAAATCTTTAGATTCTTGGTAATTCAAGGGATCTCATTTGAAAATAAAAGATATTGATTGGACTTAATTGATCAAAGAACATAGGGAATTCCTACAATGCCTTGAAGTAAGGTAACTTGATTTTTTTTACCTGCTATAGCAGGTTTCACAGGTTGCATTACGTAAAACACAACAAGTATTACGTAATGATTACGTAACGTATGTGCATCTTCCGTAACAGTAGTAAAATCTCATTACGGAAGCCTTACGTAATAGAGGCTTCTTTTACGTAATGAATATTAACCTTGCGTTACGTAAAGTGTGAAGGTATTACGGAAGTCTTACGTAACACTTCTGATTTAACTGTTACGTAAGAAACAACTGTCATTACGGAAGTCTTACGTAATAGAGGCTTCTTTTATGTAATGAATATTAACCTTGCGTTACGTAAAGTGTGAAGGTATTACGGAAGGCTTACGTAATGGATGTGTATTTTACGTAACAGTTCTAAAATGTCATTACGGAAGCCTTACGTAATAGAGGCTTCTTTTACGTAATGAATATTAACCTTGCGTTACGTAAAGTGTGAAGGTATTACGGAAGCCTTACGTAATGGATGTGTATTTTACGTAACAGTTCTAAAATGTCATTACGGAAGCCTTACGTAATAGAGGCTTCTTTTACGTAATGAATATTAACCTTGCGTTACGTAAAGTGTGAAGGTATTACGGAAGCCTTACGTAATGGATGTGTATTTTACGTAACAGTTCTAAAATGTCATTACGGAAGCCTTACGTAATTGAGGCTTCTTTTACGTAATGAATATTAACCTTACGTTACGTAAAGTGTGAAGGTATTACGCAAGTCTTACGTAACGCTTCTGATTTAACTGTTACGTAAGAAACAACTGTCATTACGGAAGCCTTACGTAATGGATGTGTCATTTACGTAACAGTTGTAAAAATTTATTACGGAAGCCTTACGTAATTGAGCCTTCTTTTACGTAATGAATATTAGCATTGCTTTACGTTATTGAGGTTTCTGAAATTAGTACAAATTAACTTGAGGTATAAAATATTGCGTGCAGTTTAGCATCAATCTACTAATATAGGCTAGCGGATGAGTTGTTATATTATTGTGCATTGGGCATGGTTCAATTCCCAGTTGAAGCATATTTTACTCAATTTCATATCGATATAATTTTTTTTTTGCAAATATTAGCAACTTAAAAGTACGGGTGGCTATTTGGTCCGGGCCGATTAAATTGGCTCCTAATATTCATATTGATATAATTTTTTATTTGTGGCTATATGGTCCGGGCCGATTAAATTGGCTCGAATTGAACGGGTTCGATCTTGACCCAGTCCAGTTTCAATTCGGTCTTGATTTTAGATTGAGCTTGTGGAGATTTTAGTGACCTAAGGCCTCAAAGGGTAAGGAGTTGGTTGAGTTTTGGGTGTTGGGCTCTCTTATCCGGTCTTTATCCAGTTTTCAATCCGATACCAAACGGGGTTTTTGTTTCAAATCTAAGTCCAAAAATAGGATTAGATTGTTTGCTATCTGGGTCCGGTCCTGGTCTGGGTTATATGGTCCAGTTTCGGGTAAAACCCAAAAGCCCATACCAAATAGCCAGCCCTACTTAAAAGTTCATTATGGAAACATTATGTAATGGCCATTTCATAATGTTTAGGGTTTAGGGTTTTATGGAACCCTAAAACACTGAACACTGAACCCTGAACCCTAAACCCTAAACCCAGACCAAAATAATTAGTTTTATATAATTATGACTATTAACAAACTATTAAATGTAATGGCCATTTCATAATGTTTAGGGTTTAGGGTTTTATGGAACCCTAAAACACTATACCCTGAACCCTAAACCCTGAACCCTAAACCCAGACCAAAATAATTAGTTTTATATAATTATGACTATTAACAAACTATTAAATGTAACATTAACTTAGATATGAAGTAAAATATTCATATATATTTTATACGTAACTTTGCCGTACCGTATTTTATTAATTATGTCTCATAATCATAATCTTCAGGAAAAAAAAATTTTGCATAAAAAAATTTGGAAAAAAAGGAAAAATACGAGACAAGAAAGTTGAGGGCTTTGCATAAAAAAAAAAAAGTTGAGGGCTTTGCATAAAAAAAAAAAAAAATTGACGGCTGGGCTTCCTTTCCCCTTCCCATCGTTCTTCTTCTTCTTTCTCGTACTCCCCAGAATAATTCTAGGTTTCCGGCGAGAATCAGAGAAACTCCACTAGAAAGTTGAGGGCCGGGCTTCCTTTCCCCTTCCCATCGTTCTTCTTCGTCTTTCTCGTACTCCCCAGAATAATTCTAGGTCTCCGGCGAGAATCAGAGAAACTCCACTAGACAACCCTCTACTCGGCTAGATTGAAGGCAACGGCGAGATTGAAGAATGAAGATGACCCTCTACCGGCGAGATTGAAGACGCCCGGCGATATTGAAGTCGCCCGTAACTCCACTAGACTCGCCCTGCCCTGATCCAGTCGTTCGATTTAGCTCAGACGTCCGTTCCTCCACAAGACGCGGCCTGCACAAGACTCGGCCTGCCCCTGCTCCAATCGTTCGATTCTCAATCGTCCGTGCCTCCACAAGGCGACCAAGCAATTACCTCCACCCTCTCCTTCAGCTCAACTGCGTTGGGTTCCCCTCTACCTCTCCGATGGCAGAATCAGAGAAAGACGATGTTGAGAATCCTCTACAAAAAGATGAAGGTACGAAGGCCGCTATCTCTATGCCTTCTGATGAAGCAATATTAGCCATGGTTTTTGATACCTTGGAAGGAGCTGAATTGTTTTACAATGCTTATGCAAAAAAAATTGGTTTTGGCATTCGCAAACGAGATTCGCGACAGTCGCGTAGTGGACGAATGCTAATGCAGAAATGGGTGTGCTCAAAGGAGGGCTATCGTCAGAAAAAATGGATAAACTATGCTGCTCGTATACGCAAGCCTCGGCGATTGACTAGGGGAGGTTGTGAAGCGATGTTTCGTGTAAATCTGGATCGCGACACTGGAAAATCTGTTGTCAAGTCACTTGTATCGGCTCACAATCATAAGTTGGTGCCATCCAAGTATGTACATCTTCTGCGTTCCCATCGTGAAATCAAAGAAGGTGATGAAGTTTTGATTGAGTCGTTGAGTACAGTTGGAGTAAGTACACGGCATATTACTGAGATTTGCAAGGAACAACATGGAGGCTATCAGAATATGGGTTTCATTCCGAAAGATGTGGAGAATAAAGTCCAAGCCATTCGAAAGAACAAGATTAAAGGTGGTGATGCAAATACTACCATCGGATACTTCGAGGGAAGGGGACAAGCAGATTCAAGCGTCAACGCTAGACAAATCAATCGTGCATTGTGTGTCCATACTTATATCCACTAGCTGCTTTAGTAAATTTTCAGGGAATAAAACTCATATTTCTTATAGTCTTTTACGTTTAGACTTTTAGAATTTTAGATTTCATTGTTTTTTTAGAAGAATAATCTTTGGAGGTAGAATTTCTAGGCTAAATTTATAGTAGTGATTTGAATACGTTAATTTGAATAATTTTTCTAGTTACACTCAATTTTGTTATAAAATAGCACTGGGCCGAATAACTAAAATCGAAAAATTCATAAAGACTATACTAACTCCGGATCCAGAGGAGGGCTGGGCGGGGGCCCGGGGTGGCCACCCCCTGGATCCGCCAGTGGAAAGCCCCAAACAAAAATAAAATAATAAAAATAAGCAGCCCATGACACAAGAGAATTAAACAGCTGTCATCTCACATCCTGCTCTGGAATTCATTTTCGAAAACCAATAACAATCAAGCGAAGAAACTAATGAAATGATCAAACAATTAAACAAAGGGAAAGGGTCGTAGTAGTTAGGGGGGAAGAACAGGTGGAGTGTGGGTGTGCTGGAAAAAGCGAAGCCAGAGAAACAAAAAACGGAGCTGGCTGGATTGGATTGGATTGAATTGGGAGATGGTTTGGTTTCTGCATAAAATTTGGAACCATGGCTGTCTGCAAAAAACAGGGAATTGAAGCTGAGATTGAGGATACCGACCTCTTCTTCTTCTGTGCGGAGGAAAGGTTTGTGGTTTGGGGAGGAAGACAGATCGAGTGACAGAAGGAGGAGAAAGTGGAACGAAAACCCTAACCTATTGTGAAAATCGGCGCCGCTCAGCCTCTCCTTCCCTCTCTCGATTTCGACTGTTCATCTGAAAAATGGAAGTGAGAAACAGAAATCCAATCCGTTCTCCCTCTCAATCAACTAAAATCGCCGTCGAGACTGAAGCCAAGCTAAGCTCGGTGAGATTGAATGCAACTGGCAAATTGAAGACTACCCTCCACCGGCGAGATTGAAGACGCCCGGCGATATTGAAGGCGCCCTGTAGAAACCGACACCACGGGTTCCCCAGCCGCAGCGAGAAGAAGTGTGAGGCGAACGTCGATTCAATGGAGGACGAAAAACTGGGGGATTGAGATCGGACACTTGATTGAGATCGAAGATCAGAACTGGAATCGGAGAAGAGGGTTCTGGAGAAGTATGCGATTTATGGTACCGTACCGTCGATACGATCTTGGCTTCCGTGGCGCCGGAGATGATCCGGCAGAGGTCGTGTACCTGTCTGCACCGACGGTTCCGATCAGTCCTGTGGGGTGCCGGGTGTCGTCGTATAAGGGGGAGGCTGTGGTTGCGGCGGCAGACGAGGGATCCCGGCGGATTAAGCACTATTGGATTGGAAAACCTAATTTTAGGATAAACAAAATTCACCGACTCCTAATTGGCATGGGAACACGGTACGGTTGCATTCTCAGGCGAGATTTTCGGCGGCCAGCCGTAACCAGTACAGCCGGTTTCCACATCAACGTGTTTTTTTTTTTAATTCTCATCAATGGCTGTAATGTTCTATTTTCAATTTTAATGGCCCAGATTTGTGCAAGAAAAAAATAAGTTACCTAATTTACAAAAAACACAAGGTACTGTAGGAGGTCCCAAGAACATAATCAAACTTCCAGGCTGTTGTCCAACGGTCATACTATAGCTAGCTAAGCTAAATCCCAAATGACGTCGTCGTTGGGATTATTTCACTGTTAACTAGATTTTCCCGATCTAAGTAGGTGGTTTAGTTGGTGGCACACACGAATGATCTCTGGATTGATTTGGAAGAATTCTGGTATTATATGAAGAACGTGGAGGATTTTTCTTCGTAGTTCTTCTTCTGTTAATTAATTAGTGTAATATTGAAATTAAACTTGGATTTCATCGTTGTTTATTGTTTGAGTCTTTAAATGTGGGCATGTTTCTAGGTAATTACCAAAGTCTATGCATAGCACAAATAGTCTTCGTAAGGACTGGCCTCGATGAAGTTGGACTTGTGTTGAAGACTTTGTTTGGACTAGTTGTACTTTTCAATTCATAATATGTGATATAGTATCATAGGAAAATAGACATCGTTAGAAACATTATGGATCAAACTCAATTGTACATATTGGTAAGTCTCTGGACCGTAGATCTTTAAAAATGATTTGGTCTAGTTCATGGTCTTTGTTGTGGAATGGTGTGATCTGCTGGTCTGGTCTGATCGAGATTGCGGTTTGTCAATACCAAATCATGGACTCACCCAACCCATTTTCCAATCCGTGTTAGCAAGCTCCATGATCACTCTTGTTGGAAATTTGGTCACCCAATTTAGGGTTGGACCAAATTGGGTAAATTGTTGGGTCAGGTTAATTAAAAGAATTAACCAACGGTCCAATGGAATTATACAACTTTTCAATTAATTTGAATTGTGCAACTTCCCATTCCATTTCTACACGTGATGGGTTACCATTCCATTCAATTTCCCCACGTGATGGTTTTGCTTAATTGGATAAGTTTGGAGTGGAAGAACACGTCCCTCCAGTTCAATTGCATGAACTAATGCATGCTTCCAAATTAAACCAATGAAACGTGTGGGTTTCTGTAACTGCCAAAGGTGAAAGAATGCAACCTTTCAAAGGTTGTCTTTCATGCCCTATAAATTCAGGGTCTCGGCAGTTGGTAGGAGGACACACCAAAAATTCATTCTTCTTTCTACTAAAACTTCTAAGTATGCTTTAGTGTTCTTGAGTCTGGAACCTAAAGTGGTGATAGTTTTATCCTCGGGAGAAATTTCCTGTAATCCTAGGCTTGTTGAGGGTGGAAATATTCTTTTCGGAAAGTGAACGTTGTTCACGACTCTATCACAATCCTGGTCACCCGGTCTCGGGCTATCGTACGTGTACCCTCGTCCCTAAAAGTCCCAACAACTCTCTCTAGATTACCCTCTGGATAATCTGGAGATCGACTTGACAATCATAATTTTCTCGATTACCCTCATAGTTAGCGGGCACTAAGAAAGTATGATTTGTTTTATAGCTCTCATGAGTTTGTCACATATTCACAAAATTGAAAGTTTGATATCGTAAACAAAAATTAAATCGGAAAACTATCCTTAAATTATTGGAATTCTTAGCTCCAACTTTAATTATACGCAGAAGCTCCAACTAGTTTTTTTTTTTTGACAAAAAATAATCATATAAAAGCTCCAACTAGCAACATCTCAATTTTTCCACATATGCGGGAATCATGTTGTGATATGCCATATCCTTGACTTTGATTGGAAAGGTTGGACGAAATATAAATCCTTTAGGTGCTAGATCTCATTGTACCAAATCTTATATACAGTTAAAACCCTACCCTACTTTTAGGTGCTAGAAATAGAAGCACACTCTAAAATCCTACCCTACTTTGCACTATATAAAAAGAGATACTCAATTAGCCCAAATCTTATATACAGTTAAAGCTCCTTGTATTTCTACCGAAAAAATAAATCTCCTTATCGATGTATGGAGGAGGTTGGAAACCAACAACCATTGCCATTTCAATAATAATAAATCATACACCAAAAGAGTAAACAAATCTCTTCTTCCTATCAAAGAATAATTACTATTGTTCACTCTATGAACCAAGATTTTGATAAAATATTAGCAAAAAAAGAAAGAAAAAAAATCATATATGACAAGCATGGGCAAGGGGGCTGAATCACATAAAGCCCATGAAAAGGGAAGCCCAGAGTGAGCCCACCATAACACTTATGCTCCACAATCCTCATCCAACCTGATTTCTAAAGGAGAATCAGAAGACGAGGTTCCTTTCTTGGTTATTGCACACTCGCCATTGTCTTTCCTAATAGCGAGAATTCAGTACAAAATATATTAGTAGAGGTACAAATTCAGTACAGTGGATTTTTTTTATTATCTATTTTTATTGTTCACGCTTTTTTCGAATGCAAATTCATCAAACCGAACTTTAAAATAAATAAGAGTCTCTCTAATACTATTTGTTTAAATCATCTACCCACCACCCAATCCCCCTTACCTCCTTCGCCCTTCGTCTCCCCCAACCCTCTACCTCCTCCGCCCTTTATCTATTTTGTATTATTCACGCTTTTCTCGAATGAAAATTCATCAAACCAAACTTAAAATAAATACAAAGTAACTCTAATACTATATGTTTAAATCATCTACCCACATTAATTGAACAAAAGAAGATCATCTATCCACATTACTAAAACTGAAATGCGAAATTATACTACCAATATTTCTAAATATTTTCATCATCCACCGAACAAATAGCATAGGGAGTAACAAGACTTTAATGTATACAAGTATACAACGCATCACGCCACCTAATTCAAACCCAAGTCCGTTTCCCCTTTCCTTCCTCAAACGTCGATCCATTTTTTTGTTGGAACCCCAAACCTTAATTTAATGCTACAAACCCAACCTAACCATCCTCCACTATATATAGCTTCCCCTCCTCACCCCTTCCTTCTCCACACACAACACACAACTTCCTTCTTCACAAACAAGCAAAAATGGAAAATCTCGACAACCTCATGAGCTCCAAGGACACAAGCTGGTACTTCTTCACCCTCCCCGCATTCCTCGGCACCAAAACCCTCCTCGGCGATGGCGACACCTACTACCTCCTCTTCTCCCTCCTCGCCGCCTTCCTCTCCCTCGCTGCCGTCACCTGGCTCCTCACCCCGGGCGGCTCAGCATGGCGCCACGGCCGCACCTCCCGCGGCCCGGCCCACATCCCAGGCCCACGCGGGCTCCCAATCTTCGGCAGCCTCTTCGCCCTCAGCCGCGGCCTGGCCCACCGCACCCTCGCCTCCATGGCTTGGGCCCGACCCGGGCCCAACAACAAGCAGCTCATGGCCCTCAGCCTCGGCGGCTCCACTCCCCTCGTCGTCTCCTCCGACCCCACCACGGCTCGGGAGATCCTCACCTCGGTCGGCTTCGCCGACCGCCCCATCAAGCAGTCGGCTCGCAGCCTCATGTTCGAGCGCGCCATCGGGTTCGCACCCAACGGCTCGTACTGGCGGCTCCTCAGAAAAATCGCCTCGGCTCACCTCTTCTCCCCGCGCCGCATCGCGGCTCACGAGCCGATGAGGCAAGCCGAGTGCGCCGCGATGCTCGACGGCTTGGCCGTCGAAATGGCTTCCAAGGGACGCGTGGAGCTCCGGTCCCACCTCCAGCTGGCGTCGCTCAACAACATAATGGGGAGCGTCTTCGGGAAGCGATACGACGCCGTGGAGGACCGGTTCGAGCTGGAGCAGCTCAAGGAGATGGTTCGCGAAGGGTTCGACCTGCTGGGCGCTTTCAACTGGTCCGATTACCTTCCCTGGCTCAGCTGGTTCTACGACCCTTGCAGGATCAACGAGCGCTGCGCCAAGCTCGTGCCACGTGTCAGGGAACTCGTGAAGGGAATTATCGAGGAGCACCGAGTGGAAGGGAAGTTCGGCGGTGACGTCGGCGATTTCGTTGACGTCTTGCTGTCGTTGGAAGGAGAGGAGAAGCTCGAGGAAGATGACATGATCGCTGTCTTATGGGTACGTAATATTATTACATAATAATATTTATTTTTATCTTTATTATTTGATTTCAAATTTTCAATACGTTCCATTTAAGAAATTAAATAATACGTTGCGTTACAGGAGATGATATTTAGGGGAACCGATACAACCGCGCTGCTAACCGAGTGGGTCATGGCCGAGCTGGTCCTCCACCCAGAGATCCAGCAGAAGCTACGTGCTGAGCTGGACACCATAGCTGCTGACTTGACGGATGCTGACGTGGCGAAATCGCCGTACCTTCAGGCCGTGGTGAAAGAGACCCTACGCGTCCACCCGCCAGGCCCGCTCCTATCGTGGGCCAGGCTGTCCACGTCGGACGTCCAGCTCAGCAACGGGATGGTGGTCCCTGCCGGCACCACGGCAATGGTCAACATGTGGGCCATCACCCACGACCCGGAGGTTTGGGCCGACCCGCTGGAGTTTCGACCCGAGAGGTTCATGGAGAAAGGTGGTGACGTGGATGTTCGCGGTGGCGATTTGAGGCTGGCTCCTTTTGGTGCTGGACGGAGGGTTTGCCCCGGGAAGAATCTCGGGATGACCACGGTGGCGCTCTGGGTGGCGAAGCTGGTGAACCGGTTCGAGTGGGCTGAGGATGCGGCCGAGCCGGTTGATCTGGATGAGGTGTTGAAGCTTTCCTGTGAGATGAAGCATCCTTTGCATGCAGTCGTGGTTGCTAGGAGTTAGGGTTTTTTTAATAACCATGCAGTGACGTAGAAACAAAGAAGTATGGTGGGTGTGGTGGTGATGTTTTGATCTTTGGTTGCTATCTTAGCCCTTAGGGTTTGGATATTTCTGCTCTTTTTATCTTTGTCGCATTTTGGATTGCTATCGATGCCATAAGGGTGTGATAGTTTAAAAGGGGAAAAGCGTCGTTAAATAATGTAGCGCTTTCCTTAGTCATTTTGAATAATTTTGGAACTATGAATTGCATTTTATTTGACTAAGTTGTTCTGAAGTTTTATTCTTATTGGTTTTTCAAATTGGTGTTGCCAATTGTTATGATTGTTAATTATGGGGAAAATTCTGAGACCCAAAGCTGAAGTGACACACAATTACGCAATAAAACTTGTATCGTTACTGGGAATATATTCAAATCTCCCTCATGAATGTCGAGTAGTACTGCTCTATTCATAGTTGAAGCCATTTTGGACTTCCTGTATGAAAAGAAATGAGTAGTATATGCATCCTTGTTAATTTTATATTTATGTCACCTTCATTAATCAATAAATAAACTCTTTATTTATTATTTCATTTAAATAATTTTCTCATAGTTTTCATTTGTTATGGCTAATTAACCCATGATTTTCTGCTTCAACTAGAGCATACAAATCACTGGAACAATATCTTAAATGGTTATTTGTTAATATCAAGATAGTCGGGTTTAAATTTATGTCCTGAGTGGCAATTTTCTCACGAATGCACCCGTTAACTAAAAAAAAAAATTCACACCTTGTTTTGGGTGCTTGTAAACATTGCAATTTTCTTGCAGATCAGGTAAATAATTGATTTTTTTTTGGAATGCATGGGTTTCTAAATGTCCTTTTTTTTTGTAGTGGTTGTGATCTTGTAGAGATTCATATTTGCATACTTTTATTCCCAGTAAAGATAAAAGGGCTGATCATTTAGTGGCTCAGATGACCTTTTCATTGACAGTTCGACTATTTGTCAGCTCTTACATATGGTGGGTAATTAGCATAAATGGTCACAGACCTTTGCACTTAGTACAAAACAGTCACAAACCTTTAATTTGTAACCATTTGATAACAAAACTATTTTACTTATAACAAAACGGTCACAAATTAAACAGTGTGACCATTTCATACCAGTTCAAACTTTTGTTACCGTGTCGTTGCAAATTAGACTTTTGGTGACCATTTTGTACAAATTAAGTTCAAAAGTTTGAACGCTCAATCACCGTTACAATTCACTCTAGTTGTATGGTGGTTTTGTTAATGTATGTGAATGATATTATGTTGTTTAGGATGACAATGAGAGAATTCAATGGCTCACAAACGGGTTCCAGACTGCTTTTTAGTTGAAAAAACTATGTCTACTTTCTTACTTTCTTGGTATCGAAATTGAAAGGTCAACTGAGGGCATTCTTATTCGGCAAAGCAAATATGTCGATGAACACATGACCTGACATCTTATATGTCGTTCAAGTGGTTAGTGTCATATACTTAACAAACAAACTACCTGACCTCAAAACATGACAAACATTTAAATTGTAACGATTCGGTAACAAACCTTTGCACTTAAAACAAAACGGTCATAAATTAAACAGCGGTGACCATTTTATACAATTTCAAAGTTTTGTTACCGTATTGTTACAAATTAAAGGTTTGTGACCATTTTGTACTAAGTGTAAAAGTTTGTTACCATTTATGCTAATTACCCTACATATGGTTGTGTGGTGTTTTGTGACTATCTTTTTCAATTTACTATCTACCAAAAATTATATATTGATTTTTTGGGCGGTGGTCCTCCTGGTACAGGTATCAAGATTTCCTTCCTACATTGATTGTTTATACATGCACATATTGTATCAGGATCGTAATCCACACAATGGATTTGGCAGTCCGCATGTGTTTTGCATGGAGTTAATGAATCGTCTTCGAATCCTCTCGCCCTCACTACTCCTCCATCTGCAAAACATACATTTTTTTCGTGTTAGACATTGTTTCAATGAGATGATTAAGAAGAACTGAAATATAATTATAAAAAAAAGGTGAAGAAAAGAGATTAGAGAAAATAATTACAATTATGAGCGACGAAGAAGAAGGCAAGCAATAAAGAGATCAGTTTGTTGGATGTTTTCTCCATTTTGATATCCTAGTATTTTCTAGGTGCACTCCAGATAATGAAAGGAGGATATGAGGGTGATTTCTCATGTTTGTAAATCTTCGACTATTTATAAGTCCAAATTACATGCATGGTGGTGTGTATATCTTGATAATTGTATAAGTCATTATCTTTCCCAAAAACAAATGATTTGTTATGGTATTCCAAAAATTGTTATGGTATTCCAAAATTTTGAATATTTTTATGAACATTCCAAATATGTTTAAATTTTAAGATAAGAAAGTTTGCTGGAGGGAAACACTTAATTAGGATTTAATATCTTTAAATGATATTTTAACTACAAAGAAATTTCATTAACAATTTAAACCATATCACTATCTAATACTTATTTTATAATAACGATACGATCTTATTCAAGTCTATTGAATATTTTTTGTATATGGATTGTTTGGATGAGTTATTTTGCACATATGATATTTTTGGATATTAATGTGTTATTTTTAGATGTAATGTTTATGAGTTGTTTGGGTGTTTATCATGTGGGAATTTTCTTGTTTGGCTATGACATTCACATGAGTCAGTATTTCATTAAAAAAAAGTAAGATAATATGTTAGGTTTGGATAGGGGATAAGTTATTTCAAATACCTATCCATTTCTATTATTTAGATTAACTCAATCAAATTATCACTTTGTTTTCCACATAAGTCATATGAGTTATTTGGTTCAAAATAATCCATTGAAATAACTCGTCCAAATGAGATATATTTACTATTTGGGCTAAATTACATGTTTGGCCACTCAAATTCCATAAATATTTCACGTTTTCCACCAAAATTACTTTTCTTTCTTATTCGCCACTAACTTTACGAATCGTTTCACGTTTGGTCCCCGACCTTCTGTCTCCATTAACTCCGTCAGTTTTTTATGACGTGGCAAACAGAATTGTTGACTGTACTGTTAAACAAGTAACATGTCAATTAAAAAATTTAATAAAAATATGTTTTAATCTTTCCACCTCATTGTTATCATTAAAACATAAAATATAATCCAAAAAAACTCTAAAATTGGTTTTCTGAAACCAACGTCGCCTCCTACCATTCCCTCTGTCCGCCCAAGGTTCCCCAACAGCCTCCGAAGCACCATCGACCTCTCCGCCTCTAGCTATTGGAATTTGGAACTTGGAGAACAACAAGCAAAATACAAAGACTGCAACGTCCAACCAGCAATTCCTCCCACCGCCGAGACGAGAAGAGGAGCATTCAAAAAACCCAGAAATCCCCAAATATTTTCCACATCTTCAGATTTTTCTTGCTCCTATCTTATTCCCACCGATCAAATCGAAAGCCCTTCTTTCTTCCCTTCTTGCCGTCACGAATCAAGAAAACCTTCTTCTATCTCCTATATATGTCCTCTCAATATGTGACTTCGGCGAACCTCCGTCTGTAGTGGCAAAGAAAAAAGGGTAGGGAATAACTTCATTCTTTCTCTAGGTTTTGGCGCAATGCCCACACGCAAGCGAAAAGAAGAACAAGCGAAAGGAGAGGAACTTGCCCAACAACATACTTCTTCATATTTACAACACCATTATGGATCTGCCTCTATCTCTCGTTGTTGCATCTTCGCCTTCCCTGTCTCTACCTTCATTGCAATCGCCATCGTCCAGTCTCCGATAGGCCGCCATCACCGTCCAGGCCCATAGGCTCCTACTCCATCCTCACCTATCGCCTCTGTTCCGCCGCTGCACCATCAGAAATTCTGCTGCCTTTACTCTTTGTGTCTCTGAGGATAAGAAAACCAGGGAAAGTAGAGGATATTTTCTCCATCTATCCTCTCTCAAAATGAAGTGTAAATTAGTTTTTATTTTATTTTTATTGTTTAAATTGCCACATCACACGTTTAACGGTCCAGTTAGCAGTTCCGTTTGCCACGTCATTAAAAAACTGACGGAGTTAACAAAGATAGACCGGGTGACCAAACATGAAACGATTTGTAAAGTTAGTAGCGAATTAGAAAGAAAAGTAATGCGGGTGGCTAACGTGAAAAATTTATCTAATTTGAGTGACCAAACATGTAATTTAGCCTTACATTTTGGGATAAGACCAAACCTATATTCAAAATCCACATCAATCATTTTAGTGAATGAAAAAAATAAAATCTCATGGTCGAACCCTGATCTTTCTAACCACGAAGGTGAGACGTGATGGTTGCTCACTTCAAGCGTTAGTGGTTTGATCCTTGAAACGAAGCCCAATTTATGGATGGCAATTTATTGCTTCATACGATCCTCTTGATACAGAAAAAAAGTAATCCTTTCCTAAGAGAAGGGATGTGAGGGTTTCCCAATCATTTTCACTATCTTCATACGAATCATCTTTACAATATATCGCAACTTCTTTTGACTTATGCTGTTATGCATGGGGATTCTTAACATATGAAAAAGATGAAGACAATAGTAAAGAGACCCAGGCCCTTGCAGCTGATACAGACAACATAAAAATAATGAAGGGAACATTAAAACTACATCGTTAATTTGATTGTTCAAGGGAAAAGTTAATCTGCTAACTTGAAAATTCGTTAGCAGATACTAACTGATATCCAAAATACATGAACTAGTATCCAAGTACTAAAGTATCTAGAGAGCACAGACTAGTATTCAAAGTTTGCTAACTGATATCCACCATGAATCAACTATTATCCCAAATTCACAAACTAATATCTAGACAACACAGAATAGTATCAATACAACACATAATTAGTATCTAGATAACCCATAAGAATATCCAGATAACACATAATAGTATCCATATTGAATACTAGTTGGTTGATTATGGATATTAGTTGGTATCTGCTATCTGGATACTAGTTTGTGATGTTTAGAATACTAGTCTGTGCTATCTAGATACTCAGCAGACTTGGATATTAATTCATACATTTTGGATATTAGTTAGTATATACTAACGAATTTTCAAGTTAGCAGAATAACTAGCCTAGATCGAGTGACGTAGTCATTAGAGGAATGAGAGAAAGCCATGTGTGGGCGCTTTTACTGTCCATTTAAATTTACCATTTATTTATGTTTTTACTGTAGTTGAAACTATGAGTTTGCAAAGTATAAATGGAAAAGGTTGAGCTAGCTGCTGATCACCTAACGAAACATTCCCAAATCTTTCATCCTCTACAGTTGCTTAACCTAACATCTTTATCCTTTGTTATTATGTTATCAAAGCAGTTCTGATCCGCTTTTCGGCTTCAAGAATGACGACTCTGCCAAACACGCCAGGATTTGGAGCAATTCCTTTTGGCACTTACAACTCCAATTCAAGCAACAGCGGTGGACAAGTCCATAACAATGATCGACAGTAGCAAACCGATAAGGGTATTATTAGAAGTGTCTTGCATCATGAAATAGCTAAGGTTGTATGGTGTGAATTGAAAAGGAAATTTGGTACATCTAATGCACTGAGGTTGGCTAATTTACAAGAATATATTGGTAGATGCAAACATGATAACCTAAGTGTGACCCAGTACTATATAGCTTACAAGGGTTTGTGGGAAGAGAATCTTTTGTATAACCTTATCGTAGAGTGTGATTGTGTTGCTCTAAGAACCATACCATGCGCAGGTGCAACAGCATTCCAAGAGAAGCAGGAGACTGATTAACTACCTAAATCTCCGTAATAAATATATGGGTTGGATCGACGATTAAACATGTAAACTCAAATCAAACCGCGCCGAGGGAGGGAGATCCAATTAAATTTCCCTTAGACGAATATGATAAGTAAATCACAATTGTGTACAAGTTAATGGGAGAGTTTAAGAGCTATAAAGTTAATGGATTCAATTCCAGGAAAAAAGAAATATGTAGTAGTACTACAAAGTACACTGAACCTCTACTAATAAGCCTCGGATGAATATCAATTGGGATAGTGGCCGTGAGCTTTTCTAACATTTTGGTTTGGCTATGGTTCGTTCTGAACAAACTAAAGCTGAATAATCCCACTTATAATTATCACAATATGATTTCGGTCCTTCTACGTAAATTTCGATATAAACGAAAAGCGGAAGTAACACGAGACCGGATTTGCGTGGTTTCCCCGTTTGATTGAACGGGACTATTCCACGGAGAGCTTGAAGCTCTCAGAGTTTTCTTATTGCTGTATTTCTGTCTTAGGGTTCGGCGGCCATACATCCTCTACGTAAGTCACTTGGAGAATGTAAAATACTAAATGATCCTTGTACTTATTACTAATGACAAATATGGATCACAACACTCCCCTCAAGCGAAAGAGTGAATATCGTGAAGTCCAACCTTGACGAAGAGATTATGAAACTGATCAACACTCAATCACTTCGTAATCAAATCGGCAGGCTGATGGTATTGGCTTTATGGCCAATATTTGAGACTAGACGGTTGAGAAGTCACCGTCAAGACCCATTAGAAAATCAAATAGGCGTTCCCCCTCTCGGACTTCATGTTGGCGCTTCTTCACATCACACGTACACCCTGAGCAAGTGAACTCCAGCGACGGCGTGACGGATTCAATTTCATCCCACAAGCCTCTCAGCTTCGTGTAGAACTAGGAGACCGAGGTCTTCTCTTACTGGAAACTAATGATGGTGCACTTCAGCTTGTAAAGTCTAGGCGCGCAACCTTGTCCAAACCTGGACTCCAAATCAACCCAAATTTCACTGGCATTATAGGCGAACCGAACACTGGTACGTACCTCCTTCCCCATTGACGTCTTTAACCAACCTTTAACCATCGCGTTGCACAGACGTAAGGCCTCCCTCTCAGCTGGGGACGACGACAATGGCAAGCTCCCATCAACATAACAAATTTTA